TAGCAGATTCAGACCCCCGAACCGCGCACTATTACGATATTACGTTTCAGTGTAGTTTTTTGATAGTGGAATCCTTTTCATAGAGAGATTTTATTTATGCAACATTACTATGCAAAGCGAGATTTTACATAGGTTCCTAACTTTTCATGTAGAATGTAGCGAGTGAGTTAAATATATAGGTCCCCCTATTTACAATTCGTCGGCTTGCGCGTAAAGGAGCTAACGGCAGTGTATAACGCTCGCGCTATAACGCTACACTTCGTCTTAGCTGAGACACTTACCGTGTCTCCTGATTTATATTATCAATTTCTGTTGTTAATATTAATTTTTTAACAAACAACGAGCGATAAGCAAAACAAGGTTTTTATCTTAATAATGTATGTATAATAAGATCATTGAAATCGATGAGGTCGTCAATATGTAGTTTTACTCTGCTTTTTAATTAAAAAAAAATATGTAAAATAGAAGCTGCATGTTTGTTGTGACAACAAAATAATTTTTTTATTATACCAACAAACTATACATTAGTACCAATAAATCTGTTCTCTCTCGTTCTCTCTCATGGGCGTATTATATGGACACTTATTGGTTATAGCATCGAGAATGAATTTCGACGTATGAATTATAACGACATTGCACACATAAATATTTTTTTGCTTACCAGAGATAAACTGGAATAATCGGATATTGTAACATAGATAGAAATATATATACAAGATGTTTCCAGAAAATGATAATTACAAACTTAAAAGATTGAGAAAACTCATACAATTGAATAACTTTTGTTAAATAATATATGTTTGGTTTTAAAATTAGAATTAATTTTCATTAAGACTTCTGACAATGAGTAGTTGTCGCGGATTCTGTTATATTGGATCGTGAGTAGGATATAATACGTTGAAATTTTTTGCGTGCCATTCATAAAAAGAATTTATGTAAAATAATAGGATTGCTTAAAAACATTTGTAATGACTAAAATTATTCTTACCAAAAATAGGCTAAAGTTATTCTTACCACTTCCCCCTCTCCGATAGTCAGTAAATAGTCATAAAAAATACATGAAGGTCATTCATCAACATTTATTCAATGTATATGCATAGTTTATTTTCATTTCATGTATCTTTTACGACTATCTATCCACACAAAATACAAATGTAATTGCTATCTAACATATATGTAAATATACATCATTTTACATTTATGTTATATAGCATTCATAATTGTATTTGCCAGGAACTGATTGTCAGAGCGGGATAAGAATAGCTTTGACACATTTTTACAGGTGTTTTAAAGCGATCTCATTATTTTGTTTTATCCAAATTTTTTTTATTTACAAATGGCGTGCAAGAAACTTCAATAATGTAATTTCTCGCTTACAATGTCATAATCCTATATGGCGAGCTCTAGCTCTACTCAGGAGCCTCAGCCTCAATCATTATTGAAGATTGTATATTATTTATTTCCAACACAAAATCACGCAGTACTTTACAAGGTTCTAGAATTATCTTTTGATTACAAATCCACTTAAGTTGCAGAAATAATTAGCTAATGGCGAATCAATGTCTAAAATATCGGTTGATGTAGACATTAGGTCGATTAATGTTTTTGCGTTACTAAATTAGACGATTAAAGATATATTTAGGCATCTATATGTACAATTATATTTCTTTCATTTTACCTTAAATTAATCTTTAAACAAAATAAAACGAAATTACTGAAAAAAAATATATCTTACTTACTTTCATCCTATTTTGGGAATTCGCCTTCAAAGAATTATTTCATTATGGATGCACATGAGCACTGACAAGATACTATTAAAGACCATCGGTCCTGGGCAAATTTTCTATCAATGAGGTCCTGGGGCCCAAGGATAATTGAAGATGATATTATAATTAATAATAATTTATGATTATTAATATAAATATTTCGATAATTTATTAAATTCGTGGTTTTTTATGATATAAATGCTATATAAATAGTACATATACTTTTAATGCTATAATATCTTATATATTGCAACTTTTTTCTGCAATTATTAATTCTATTGATAATCAAACTCGAACATTAAAATCACAGTTTTAAATAAAAATTGAGTATTATTAAAATTTAAACATATTAAATTAAACATATATACAGTCTACTAAACTAATAAATTACAAAATTAATACCATATTATCAGTTTCTTATTCTTAGGGGAGTATCAGACTACGAGTTGACGATTATGATTGACGGTTGTCCGGTTTTATTTCAGCTAATTACGATGGACTCGTTATATTGTGGTTGGTTGAAGTAGAACCGGGCACTCGTCAATCCGTGGTCTGATACGGACATTAGGGCCGGTTATTTTATCTTTAGATAAACTGTGTAGTAATTTACTTATTGGATAAACAAAAGAGTAAAGAAGTAAGAACATAATAGAGTAAAAGAGTGAGCCGAAGTTTATCAAAAGGTGGAACAATCCAGCACGCGAACTTCCATAAGCGCCGACCGTTTTTAATAGTATCTCAGTAACATAAGTGAAAAATTTTAATACTTTGAAAGAGCTTTTATTCTATTCTGTATAATTTTTTATTTATGAAAGATAGAACTTTCACGCATTTATATATATTGGCGATACCAGTTTAATAATCATCTTTTAATTTGTTATTCCCAAGGAAATGGAAAATTATTTTTTAAAAGTAATTAGTTTCTTTTTTGATTCTCAAAAATAACTCGTTATCGTTATCATTAAAAATTAATAGTTCATTACTTTTCCATTATCTTTTTAATGCTGAAATAAAATCAATGTAAAAAAATTTTTAATATTTTTAAAAATATTAATAAAAATAATAAACAATAACATTATTAGACCGGTATGTGAACACTAAGAAAAATGCTTTCGCGGTTCGAATTAGAATTTAAAGTACGTAATAATTTCAGAATAAATTTATACATATTCTACGCTATTAAATTTATTATGTCAAATTATATTCGATTTGAGTTATTTTTAATGATTTCTATAAATCGTCCCAAGTTCGTTACAACTAGATGCAAATCATGCATTGTACAAGAATGGTCATTAACAAGGAGGGCGCCAAAAAGGGCGTCCAATTAAATTTTCAAAATTAATTTGCAGTACTAACACGAATTGTCCTCATAAAAATAAAAATCGAAATATTATATAAATCGAATGTAAGAACGTGACAAAGACGTAAACAAAAATTCTATGAAGTGTAAATTCTAAGAAATAAAAGTACAGCGATATGTAAAAGAATTTAAGAGATAAATTTCTTTTACGTTTCGTTGTTCCAATTCATGTCTTGTAGAAATTTCATTTATGTTTCTATCACTCTTCTTAAAAGTGATTAAAATTATTAATATCATACATATAAACAACATACACTATCCCTAATTTCAATTGTCAAAATTTTCCAAATTTTTCAAAAGGTTATGTTTATGGACTTGATTGTATTAGGGATACGACCTCTTATTATTTTTTCAAGAGATTTGGCAAAGTTAGATCTTATAAGAATAAAGCATCAATTTAATTCTTAGTACACACTAACATTTTAACACTTAGTACACGCGTCTTTCTTGTGTTTTGGATTAATTTTCATCACTTTTATAAGTATATAAAAATTATTCAACAATTTTTATGTATATTTTGATATCTTCAGAAAGTATTTATAAAATTGCATATTTATAAACAAATTGTATATAAATTGTTATAACTGTGCATAAATATAGTTTAACAAATGAATTACATGAAGGCGTGATTTCGAAGTTTTATGGAAAATATTGAATTGAAAACATATTATACATATATAATAAATAATATGATGACTATTTTTGGGAATATCGGCGTTAATATGTATATGTTACTGAAAATCCAAGTTTTATATCGTTATCTTGAATTTTTTGAAAAGCATTTGCCTTAGATAAAGACAAAAAACTTGATGAACAAATCAACAAAACAACATAAAAAAAATCTTTTCTGGCGGTATTCTGATTTTTGTTGTTCAATTGTTAAATAAATTTTAAAAAACATTAATGTAATTTATTTAATTTGTTCAATAAAAAATTCATTTAATGCAAAAAAGTTGTATTTGTGTACGTGATGTATATGCACGCGCGCGCATATGTGTTGGTATTTGGTCTCAGAATCTTAGAAATCATGCTACTTGTAAAATTGTAAACTAAAATTTACAATTTTAAATCGACACTCTATTCTTATAAGATCTAATTTCACCAAATCCCTTGGGAAAATAATAGAAAAATCCATGTCTCCTACATAATCAAATCCACGTGAACTTTGAAAAATTTTCACGACCACATAGTGTAATAAAGCCCAATCTACATAAGTTGTAGGTTGCAAGCTTGTTGCGTCAATCAATCTCGAAGCATCACTTTTAAAATTGACGCATCGGATGGCTGATGCAACAAGCTTGCGATTCGAATTCTAATATAGATCTGGTTTAAATCTGATTTAAAACGTCTAATAGTCGTCTTTTCGACCTGTAATTTTTCACTGGGATAACGCTTCTAGAATTTTTCAGAGAATGCATCAATTAATGCACTATAGATGTAACGAAGACATTTTTAACACTTATTGCATAATTAAGAAAAATTTTTTTTTCATTTTAATTAAAATTAAATGTGTAGAAATTAAGTAGTATTCAAGAAAGATAAAAACTGCAGATGTTTAATGTTTAAGAAGATGCTGTAGAACATGAGTTACTTAACAAAGTTCATAACTTGGTTTTTTATCTATTTAAATTTGTCATTTTTTGGAAACACTCTGTATATTTTGTGTGTGTGTGTGTGTGTGTGTGTGTGTGTATACGGGCATGCGTGTGTATGTGTTTACCACACAAACACACACACACACACACACACATATATATCACTATGCGTCATTTGTATGTATAATATATATATATTTTACCATCCTTGTGTCAAATAGTGATAATCTGTAAACTTAGTACACTGTTTCTTTTTCTTCTTTATAACTGTTCCATAGAAACGATAACGTTAAATCCATTTTAAAAATGTAATTTGTAACATGTGTGTAAGTTTATGTATGTGTGTTTGTCTGTTTGCACGTCGAATACGCGCGATTAATTAATCCCGACAAAGTCACGCAAGCCGCACTGTAATAACGAATAAGAGAAACATAAAATTCAACGAGTAGTTAAAAAGACGGCTGGCGCTACCGCAAAATTTGATCTCCATCTCTTCAGGGTGATAGTTTATACATTTTGGTGGTCTTCGTCGATACAAACGTTCTCTCCTTGCCGTACATGCTCCGGGTTCGGTTAATGCCTCGATGGGTTCAATGCTCAGTTGTTTACTACCGCATGGGCACAACGTGTCGACCACTAGCAATATCAGATTGGTGTGACGGATCTTTTGGACGCTAAATGGTCTGTATCATAAAAAAAAATAAAGGAAAAAGGAAAAAATTAATACATCATAGTTATAACGAAGATATTTTGAACACTTAAAACTTGCACAATTAAAAAAAAAAATTTTTTTTTTTTTCATTTTAATTGAACCTTGTAGAAATTAAATAGCATTCATTACGGATTACATTATATATTTTCTGCCTCACTTTATATTGTTATTGCCGGAAATTATTAGTCGAATCGACTTTGAAAGAATAGCTTTTTATATACTTATACATTTTCAAATTTTTGTCACTCAAAAATTGACATTTTTTTTTGAACATCCTCCGTTATTTTTTTGTTAAAGAAATATATATGGGAGACTGGGACATCCTATAAGTCACAAAAATTCAAATTCTTAAAAGTGCATCTAAATATAAAAATTTTTGTATCTTGATTTTTTAAATAATTAAACCGTAATGCATATTTTAAAATTTAATAAATATATTTAGTATTTAAAAATATTTATTAGTTCTTAAGAAAAAAATATTTTTAAAGAAATGATCTATGGTGCCTCATACGGGGTACCATAAGTCACACAAAATAGTAGGATTGAAATATTGGGAGTACAAATTAGTTCGGTCCGTTTTTTTGTGCATTTATTTCAAAACAAAATGAATGAACAGATCAATTAAAGTATTGTCCATCTCTGCCTACTACTTTTTCCCATCTCTCAGACAATTTTCGAATTCCATCTCGAAAAAATGACTCGTCTTTGGAGACGATCCAATTTTGGAGTCAATTTTCGATTTCTGTGAAAGAAGTGAACCGGTGACTTACTGCATCCTTCGGAACAACCAGTAATCAGAAGGAGCAATGTCCGGAGAATACGGCGGGTGCGGTAAAACATCCCATTTGAGCGTTTCCAAATATTTTTTTTACGACTTTAGTGAGGCCGAGCGTTGTCATGAAGAAAAATAACTTTATCATGTCTTTGCTCATATTCCGGTCGTTTTTCTCGCAAGGCGCGGCTCAAACGAATCAATTGTAGCCGATACCGATCGCTCGTAATGGAATCGCCAGGTTTCAGCAGTTCATAGTAAACAAGACCCTTTTGGTCCCACCAGATACACAGCATGATCTTCAAACCATGAATGTTCGGCCGTAGTGTTGATATTGAGGTCGATGGCAACGATTGACCAGGCTTAGCATAGTATTTTTTCTTCTTGGGGTTGTCGTAGACTATCCACTTCTCATCTCCAGTCACAATTCGATGCAAAGAACCTTTTCTCTGTTGTCTTTGAATCAGCTGTTCGCAAGTGAAAAATCGCTTTTCAACGTCTCTCGGGTTCAGTTCATAAGGCACTCAATTTCCTTGTTTTTGAATCATTCCCATGGCTCTCAATCGTATAGAAACGGCTTGTTGAGTTACCCCCAATGATTCTGCAAGCTCCTCTTGCGTTTGACTCTGATCTTCTTCGAGTAATGCCTCTAATTCTTTGTCTTCGAATTTTTTTGGCTGTCCAGAGCGAGGCTTGTCTTCAACGCTGAAATTTCCATCCTTGAAACGTCGAAACCATTTCCTACATGATTTATCAGTTGGAGCAGTGTCACCATAAAAACTTCGACAAGCATTCGATGGGTTTCAGCCGCACTTTTCTTCCAATTAAAGCAGAAAATCAAAACCTTCCGCAAATACTGCTTGGTTAACACAAAATTCGACATTTCAAACACAGTAAAAATCAAGGTTTTTGTATAAAACTCAAAGCGATATAAACTGAATATTATTAGCAGATGTTTAACCTCTCTGAAACCGCCAAAATCAGCTGTCGCTATGAATCATTCACAACAGCTGGAGTCATCTTTAGGGAAACGGACCTAACTAATTTGTACTCTCGATAACTGGCGAAAATTGAAAAGTATTTTCAATTAACTTATACATTCTTAGCATAGTTACTAATATAATAAAATGTAATTACAATTAATAATTATTAAATAATAAAATTGAAAGTTATGAAAAAAAAGAGAAATAATCATTATTACAAAATAAAAAATTTATTACGATAAAATAAAATTAATTGTTTAGAAGTAAACTGCCCTTTTAGTATATATTCTTTCTGTATTGTTCTGTTTCATCATGAATATTTAATGTATAACCTATGATGCTTCAATTATGCATTTAATTATACATTTAATAGAAAATTATAAAAAAATAAATGTTAGATTATTATTTGTAATATATTAGGTGTACAACTTTGCTTCCGCCGTTTTAGATGGCTTTAGCGATAAGTGATGGTCGAAATAAATAGATCATAGACGTCATACAATAAACTTGGGCACCTATCAACATAACCCCATAGAAACATTAGTCGATTTGTGTCTGCATCATAAAGTTATTCTCGATTGGAAATGTCAGTTTACGAGCCAAATTCTCGTCATTTGCGGGAGGTTTTAATTTTTTGCTTCAATATGAAGAAATCTGCGGCTGAGGCTCATCGAATGCTCTCAAACTTATGGTGAGGCCGCTATTAGTGAAAGAACGTGTCGTGAGTGGTTTCAACGCTTCAAGAACGGTGATTTTGACGTCCAAGGTCATGCTCTGTATTTGGTGGGACCAGCTCGGCATAGTGTATTATGAACTGTTAAAACCGACACAATCACAGGCGATCGAACGCAATTCATGCGTTTGAGCCGAGCATTGAAAGACAAACGGCCGCAATACAACGAGAGACACGATAAAGTGATTTTGCAGCATGACAATGCTCGACTTCATGTTGCGAAAGTGATCAAGACATACTTGGAAACATTGAAATGGGAAGTCGTACCCCACCCGCCGTATTCTCCAGACGTTGCTCCCTCTGACTATCACTTGTTTCGATCAATGGCACACGGCCTGGCTAACCAGCACTTCCGGTCTTATGAAGAAATAAAAAATTGGATCGATTCGTGGATAGCCTCAAAAGATGACCAGTTTTTTCGACGCGGGATTCGTACGCTATCCGAAAGATGGGAGAAAATAGTGGCCAGCGATGGACAATACTTTGAATCATAAATGTATAACCAGTTTTTTTATAATAAAGCCTCGAATTTCGGAAAAAAAACGGCGGAAGCAAAGTTGGACACCTAATAATAAATTGAAAAAAAAAATGTGTAGAAACTTGCATCGTATCTTCTATTACAAAAACAATATATTAAAAATATTTTTATGCAGTTAAAAAATTATTGCATCACCGAAACCGATTAATGATCGATGCTTTTCAATACAATGGAATTTAATCACTGCTACCTAGATAAAAAGTAGAGAGTAAAAGACAGCGAAGTAATATTGTACAGTCATATTGTACCAGTAGTATTAATTTAAACAGTAGTATTAATTTCTAGATTATGTCAAACAATCGATGACCCATGGTACTCCGAGATTCATGGTGTTCCTCTATTATAGATATTTTACAAAATATGTTCTTTTTATACTTAGATTAATTACTTACACAGCAAGAAACATTTATGTATTGATCTGAATAATTTTTTGAAATATTTCAATAAAATATTTCAGAAATATTTTGTAAAAATTTATAGAACGTTTGAAAATATTACATTAAAATATTTCGCAAAAATACTTTAGAAATATAATATTTTAGAAATATAATATAAATATTATAAAAACGAGAATATTTCAAGAATTTTGATTTCTTAGACATATTTACATTTCAGAAATATTTTATTAAAAATATTTCAAATCTTACAAAATATCTTGGAAATAGTTCTGAAATACATGCTGCGTAAGTAAGTAGCAAATTACAATATAATTTTAAATTTTGGAATGTTGAGATTAGCTTCAATTTTATGAACAATATAAACTTTTTAGACACTGGTGACTAATTCAATAGCATCATTTTTTTTAGAAAGTTTAGCTACTTATTTTAGAGGTGTATTCGATCGTAAAATTTTTGAACATCGAATATCGAATATCCGGAAAAAATATGATATCAGATATCTAATATCCAATCGAATATCCGATAGGGCAATTATCTGGCCAGATACAGGATATTTTTCAAATATCCGGGATAATGTATCCATTCTATTTAAAAAGAAGAAAAAAAGAAAACAAGAGAAAAATAGCGATAATAATTTCTTTATCTCTTTTATCTCCTCTAAAGTGTGGCAAACTTCATCTTTAAAACGAATTTTTATTTTTTACTGTGCGATTTTTTCATCGAGTTATAAATGTTTTCCGAAATGTAAAATGATGGATTCAAATTAACGGATTGAATCTGGAAAGTAGCTAGATTTGTATCAAAAAAATATCTTAGGCTTTCTAGAAGTTGCTGGTATCGAATCTGAAAATATAGAAAATGATAAATCTATTAAGGAGAACCAAAATGCGAAAAGTGACAAGTTCGGACTGCTATATTAGATCCGCCATTTTGAATTTCTATATATAATATCTGCGCAACTGTCGTTATAAACATATAACAATCGCATAACGAGTTACGGAATTTTGTTATAGCCTTTCGAAGCATTTCGTGAAAAGAAATGCCTACTTATAATTTTTTTCTAATAAACTATAAGCTGCGGACACTTTAGTCTGCTAACATTTTTATCAAATCTGCTCCCAGTCTATTAAATGTCTACTTATATTTTGCCAACATTTTGCTTACAAAATTGTTTAAAAAATAAAAGAGGATGATCTAAATATGTATTATTCATCTTCAAAGGGTTATAATTCATCAAATATTCTCCGAAATGTGACATGTATACCTTTTGATATATTGTAATTGAAATTAGTTTATATCCAGTAAACATACTATGCGCAATTTCGAAACATTTATATAACATAGTGTACGTAAATATTACAGATCAGCGCAACGAACCCATGACATAGCAAGTATATCATTGATGTGAAAGGCTGTAATGTGTATGCCTGTGCTGTCACTGTTTCGTTGCATTTACGTAATATAATTGAATAACATAAATTTTCATTTTCTGAAAATTTCGTAAATGTAACTGATGATATTGCGTTATTTATATGTAAATGTATATGTATTATATATATGTAAATGTAACTGATGATATGTATATGTACGTATTATGTATACGTATTATATATATATACGTTATATGTATATGTACGTATTATGTATACGTATTATATATATATACGTTTTATGTATACGTATTATATATACGTATTATATATTATATATATGTTTTCGCTGCGCGAAATATAATCAAAATATTTTGACATTTTGACCAAATCATAATCTGAAAATAATGTAACTATTACAGAACAGTATAACATCGTTGCATAATGACTATGTAAATGTTACGAAACGGTATTCACTGGATACGCATATGCATAATCCAATTTGATTTATATTAAAAAAATTTCTTTGTTTCGGCTTTATCCAATCGGTTTTATCCATGTGAACTTAATTTTTCAATTCTTTTATTTAATTTTACGCGATTCAATAATAATTGCTATAAATCACCTTTCACATCCTGTTATGTGGCAATTGGTGAGCTTTCCTTTCAGAGGATTGCTTTGGCCGCTGGTGTTGAGACGCTCGGGTTGTAGAATATACAAATCCGTTTTCTTTTCGCAAGCACGTAATTTTCTTGGATAATGAGCGGAAGTGGCCCGTGTAGTTGGCGGCGAAACTGGTGTCGCTGGCGCGATTACTGGAAATCTCACATATACGTTATTCTCATCCGATGTTACTTCATCTGCCGAGTCGGCAGGCGTCAACGATTCGAATTCGTGTGTCTCCTCATCATCGGTGAATACTAAGTCATCTGAAAAAAATAAACATATTTCTTGTGATCCTTAATATTTTCTCGAGTAAATAAAGATGTGCATTGAGAAAATTGTCCAGTGGTTTTGATTAGAAAAAATCATTTCAGTACTTTTTCCGATTTCAATTCAGACAGAAATAGACAGGAATCGTATTCGTAGTTGCAAACAAATTCCTATAGATAATTAATAACAGATAGTGCATACAGATGTAGATAAATATAATACCTATAATTGCGAATATTAGATATCGTTAGCATCCGATACATACAGATTGCAGATAGAAACAGGCAAGTTTTTCTATTGTAAAAGCTTATAAATACTTATTGGCTGACGCCAATAGAGTTCCATTAAATACAGTGTTATCATTACATTTTCTGTCTGTACAATAATTGTTTACTGAAACAGATAGGAATTGAATCTTCTTTTCAATTAAGTTACAGTTGTAGTGGATAGAAGTCCATTAAAAGCCGTTAGAAATCCTATCTGTTTCTGATTATTTCTAACGATAGGGTTGACCGTCTCCATTTTCTCTCTTTTTCTCTTATTTTTTGTTGACCACATTTAATATATTATTTATTGTAGATACGAATGATGCAGTCATGTCTTTATTTTTGCCGAATTGAATCGAATTTCAGTTCTTAATTTCTTTGAATCTGAATCGAACCGAATCGATAAAATTTATATAAAATCAAATCGTTGAAACATAACTTGTCAACATAATCTAATAGCAAATTGTCGGTCGAAATCAAGCAGACTCTGCTAACGTGATGCTGGACTATCAGTAAAAATTAAGTAAAATCTTATTTGACAGATTTGTGTTAAGAATAGAAACTGAAACATCTGCCGGTCTGTCATTTAATTAGTTTTGCTTAAAGATTCTATTATACAATATTAAATAATGAATCTTCTGTTATCTTTTTCAAGAATCTGTCAACAAGAGTTTATATGTATGCATGTGCGTATTGTCTAATCCTATATCAATTCTATTCCTATATCATTCTAATACAACAACTTTGCTTCCGCCGTTTTCCTATAGATGGCTTTAGCGGTAAGTGGTGGTCGAAATAAATAGATCATAGACGTCATACAATAAACTTGGGCATTTGTCAACATACCCCCATAGAAACATTAGTCGATTTGTGTCTGCATCATAAAGTTATTCTCGATTGAAAAATGTCAGTTTACGAGCCAAATTCTCGTCATTTGCGGGAAGTTTTAATTTTTTGCTTCAATATGAAGAAATCTGCGGCTGAGGCTCATCGAATGCTCTCAAATACTTATGGTGAGGCCGCTATTAGTGAAAGAACGTGTCGTGAGTGGTTTCAACACTTCAAGAACGGTGATTTTGACGTCCAAGGTCATGTTCTGTATTTGGTGGGACCAGCTCGGCGTAGTGTATTATGAACTATTAAAACCGACTGAAACAATCACAGGCGATCGGTATCGAACGCAATTGATGCGTTTGAGCCGAGCATTGAAAGACAAATGGCCGCAATACAACGAGAGACACGATAAAGTGATTTTGCAACATGACAATGCTCGACCCCATGTTGCGAAAGTGGTCAAGACATACTTGGAAACGTTGAAATGGGAAGTCCTACCCCACCCGCCGTATTCTTCAGACGTTGCTTCCTCTGACTATCACTTGTTTCGATCAATGGCACGGCCTGGCTGATCAGCACTTCCGGTCTTAGACCGGTCTTAGAAGAAGTAAAAAATTGGATCGATTCGTGGATAGCCTCAAAAGATGACCAGTTTTTTCGACGCGGGATTCGTACGCTACCCAAAAGATGGGAGAAAGTAGTGGCCAGCGATGGATAATACTTTGAATCATAAATGTATAATCAGTTTTTTACAATAAAGTCTCGAATTTCAGAAAAAAAACGGCGGAAGCAAAGTTGTGCACCTAATACATATGCAACGTGTTAACATAAATTTTCTACTTGCAAAATGCTGATTCGTATAATATAACAACTTTATGATCATTTGTGTTGTCAGTTTGTTGTCTGTGATTATACATATATTGATTACAAATTGATGGTAACTTGCAGACAATTTGATATCATCGGTATGTCATCTAGCATATTAATAACTAATATACAATATTTTTATGGCAATAATATAGTGAATGTATATTTTGGGAATTCATAAAAAAAAGTTTTAGAAAAGGGCATCGAAGCTCTTGTCATTAGCAAGGTGTGAGAACTGAGAACTGTTAAAAAATGTTTTATTTCGAAGTCTCGCCTTTAAAACATCATTTCATTATCGTTTCATTAGAACATGAAATATTTCATAGTAAATATCTATATGGTATTTTACTTACAAGAAATAAAACTCTACTGCATTTGCTTATTAGTAGTACTTGCTCGTGATGTGTGATTTAGTGAAAATAATAATCATAAACATATGATCATTTCATAATATCAACATTTTGTTACAGCCATGTTAAATTTAAAGACATATTCAATAATGGATGGAAGTTTTACATGTCGTTATATGTTTTCATCATTATATTCAAGATGGAATGACAAAATTATTTGCAGCTATCATGTTGACATGTTACTGATAACATAACGTATCAATATTGCTAAGAGTTTGCTCTTAAAATCTCGTTTTGTTGTTAACTGATTACATGCATATTATGTTGTTGCATTCGTAACGTATTCTAGTTTGTCAGTAAATGCATAGCAAATATATAATACATATAATGTTTGTTCAATATGCTACATCATGTTTGATTATCTAGATTATCCTTTTGTTCGATACTTCTTTTTGTTCTCAAAAATTTCTTCATGAATTTCCAAAGATTATATATAAGGTATCTCCCAATATTTGGGACTATTTTCATATGCAGATTAAAGACTGAGTCGAAAAGTCTTTTACAATTTTTCAAGGAAGGATCTTATTAGTACACAGTGTGATAGCACACATTTACTCACATCGGCTGCCGTAACTTTTCACTGTTGTGTAGTAACTTTTCATTGCTTTACCAATGAAAATATTTTATTTTAAATCGGCCAATTAGAGGTGTATGCTATCGGAATCCTTCCTAAGCGCACGGCTAGATCAGTCGTCCAGTAATTGAAATTGCTAGACACGCGGAGTTATTTAATAGTAATAATTGCTGGCCTTTTCCGAGAGGAAACACGAGCGTAAATATTTTGATTCCTATCAGGATTGAACCCGGAATCTCTGGCACGATAAATCAGTGTGTGTCTGCTTGCTCGAATTCTAACAATATGCACATAATTTTTTAAGGCATACTTGTTGTATTTTTCTATGAATTTCTAAAGAATTATAAATTAAAAAAAAAAAGCAAAAATATTTAAAGAATAATTTGAGAATTATTTGTGCTCCCCTATCTGGACGTACTGTTGAAAGCAAGGCATGGAAATAACAATTTAACGCCGTTCCTTTCCTTATCATTACTCTGTTATAATTTATAATAACGATTTAGCAATGACGATTTTTTTATAATTGTAATGGTAACATCAGAATTGAAAAGTCACACACACATTCAATCGTTATTTATAAAGTTGGAAAAGTCACTTGTTACTGAAAAAAATTAACTTGGCATTTGTAACTCGTTACTTTTTAGTCTTAACTTGTAATAACGAGATAACATTACTTGTTACAAATTACTTTTTTCAGTAAGTAAACGCATAATGATGCAAATTACCTTCCAAAGTGACTTTTTCAATCTTAGCATAATTTCAGCGTTTAGTTAACTATCGTTATTCATAAAAAATTGTTATGTCTTTATCAAATTGTTATTATAAAAAGTAATGGACAATAACTCTTTTTTCATTTCTTGATTGAAAACATGAATTATTTATACAGTGAAAAACATTCTGATAGTTTTTAAGAATCTTTTTATATTTTAAATTTATAGATTAAACAAAAAATACTTAAAACTTTAGATTTTAGAAATTTTCCTTTAAAAATTATAGGCATTCGTATAAAAAATATGAAAGTTTCTAAAAAGCTATAAAATTATGTAGAAATTATGAACAATTCTGAAATTTATATAAAGATTTTGCAAAATTATATGAAGAATTCTAAGAAAAATTTTTACTAGAACAAAAACCGTTTTTAATATCTCGTGATTTGAATAAGACAGAATGTATATACTCTTGTATGTATATAAATATGTAACAAGTTACATATTTATCGAGATAATTAGTACACTTTTAAATCATTTATTTATTGTATGAATGTAAACACATTTTTTAAATATTACCATTCATTATGTCGTTAGCAAATGCCAATGTCGTCTGCCATAAGTCTTGAATATTAAAACTCAAAGTCAAAGTCCAAAGAAAGTTGCCAAATGCCACTGCTGTCATTATGATAGAATCAGACAGAGTTCGCGGCGCTGATGATTGATGAGATTCTTGAGGACTGCAAGTGCCTTGATAATCAATGACGGTCACTTTTCTGTGAACATCATAAAAATATCTTAATATCCAGAATCTTTCAGTTCAATTTGAAAATATTGCAATATTTACAATTCTTTCTCCAATTTATAATTCCAGCTAAAGGCTTACAATAACTATGGCCCCTCAAAATAAAGTTATTTTTGAAAGCACTTAGTAAGGAATACGGGAAAAATAGTAAAAATAGTAAAAAAAATCTATAATCAATATTTAATTTAATAATTATAATTCAATTTGATAATAACTTTTTAATAAACAATGATTGTCGACTAAAATGTTCTAAAGGTTGTTCAAGACATTTATCTTGACAAGAAGTGTGTTCAGTCAGTGCTGAAATTATATAGTATATGTTACGTGCGCTATAGATTTTTAACACTGGAACGCACCCAAGATCTACTCTCATCTCTTCTCTCCCTGTTACGGAGAGCATGATTTTCCACGCGAAGCGAGGAATTCATCTCACCTCCTCCCCCCCTGCTACGAGGTGCACTTCTACATGATGATTTTTTTATTTGTAATTGTTAGTTATTTGATATCTATTGAAGAATTTTTTTACTATTTTTCTCGTATTCCTCGCTTCCGAAAATTACTTTCATTTTGAGGGTCATAGTTATCATAGTCATAGTTATCATAATCTAGCTGTCATTAATTAATCATTAAAAAGTTTGATTTTCCAATGTATCATATATTCCGGTATAGCAAAAGATTGTCAAGATTGTAGAATGTTTAAATATTATTAATAAAATGTTCAGAATATTGTTAGTATACTTATATATATCATAAAAATCTTATATATATCATAAACTCACCCGCGAGTAGTATGCATCTCAATAAAGGGTCGCGGCAAAGATGCATTAAATAAGAATTTTATGGAAAAGAATACGCGTGTTCAAATTGACAAAACGGCTAGCCTGCTTGCTGATGAATATAATTGGTTGTTACTTATAGATTCAACCAATCACATTCAATTGCTCGGCAAAGCTAGCAGCTAGCAGCTTTGTCCGGTTTGAAACGCCCAATGTAAAGAATACAGCGTTTTGTTTGTGAATTCCCAAAATTGAACTTCAAAATGAAAGTAAAGAAAATGTGTTTTTAATAGTATAATTCGTTTAAAAATTAGTTTAAAGACTTTCGGACTTGGAATTTCTAAAAAAATTATAATTTTGCGGAAGATAATATGGAACATTATCCGAATATGTAACGCAATATATGAATGGAATATTTAACGATTATTTGAATGTTGCTTTTACATTCTATAAATATTTCGAGATATTCTGAAATACTCTTGAAATGTTGAATTTTGATATTTTATGAATATTTCGTAAAATTAGCTGGGATGCAACATTGTACAAATATTGTAAAGGAATTAAATATATTTCTGTGAGTGCAGTAATATTGCAGCAACATTTGCAAGAACGTTGCATTATATTTGAATATACACAAAAGAGTATATTTGAATATACATTATACCAAAAAGTTAAGAGATCATCTATTCTGTTCTCCAAAAAAAAGCAATTTTCAAGAGAAAGTAACTTTGTAAAAAATGATTATAATGATATGATTTAAAAAGTGTTTTAAAATTTGACATCTTTATTATAAGCTACGTTCAGTAGACTCAGTGAGTGAGCGCTCACTGCTATTGATGTAGTCTTCTATAGTAGATTTAAATTCTGATTGGATGATTTAAAAGAATATATCAATAATAGCAAGCGCTCTCTCAATTATTGAGTTCGCTGAATACATCATACAGGGTCTGGAAATAATCGCCAAATATTTCATGGACAGGTAGAACGAACTAAACTGAGTCGAAAAGTCCTTTACCATTTTGTAAATTTCCCCAATAATTAATGAGATATTAATTCTTAAAGATAGCCGAATATGCGCACTCGCCCAGCCTACTACTGCGAAGTGTGTATGCCTACTGATCACTTGACGCGCGGATTTTGGGAGTTGGGGATTGGCTGGCAAGCGTTCCGCGCCGCGCACATCACTGTAAGACTCCATAACTCAGATAGTGCGCTTGCCAAGCTATCCCCGTTCCCCAGCGCCCGCGCGCCAAGCGATCGGTAGGCGTATATGCTTCGCAATAGTATTCAGCTATTTTTAAGGATTAATCTCGTTAACTATTGGGGAAACTTACAAAATGATAGAGGACTTTTCGACTCAGTTTAGTCCGCTCTATTTGCCCATGAAATATTTGGCGATTATTTCCAGTCACCCTATAAAATATACCCAGCTACATACCTGGATTTAGCAAAACGGTGCGAGAGACAAAATATCGCCTTGGTTGATAAAAAAAAAGTTGATAGAGAAAAATCTTATCGTTTTGAATAAGGAATTTGTTCGTAAATTCTAATTTGAATCTGATTTTATAGAAATTTTGTACAAATTTTATAAAATCTGATAAAATATGACAAGATTTATAATATATTCGCTCAATCGTGTTCACGAGGTCAACGATCATGGTGGAAGAGAGAGGCAAGAGGACTCGCGTTAATCAAGCATCCCGAATCGTAAGAAGAAAGGGAACTCACGTTAATCAAGTTAATCCACTCTCATGTAATTCCTCTTATTGATGTTAGAGCTCCAAAAATTTTTCGAAAAATTAAATGAATTGAAAATCTCAAAAAACATTGCATTTGACCTTGCTTTTTGACAGCTTTTACTAGAAAAAATCGACTTTAAAAAAATGGCTATAATAAAGAAATCTCAGAAGTGGTGCCATCTACGATTGAGTTGACAACAGTATCTCATTTTTCGATTGAAATTGTGAAACTTTTGTCTGAAAAGTTTTTTCCTATCTCCTTTAGCTTTTGAGAAAATCGACTGAATAAATTAACTTATAAGTTGTCAAAGTTATGACTCTGAACAACATTTCAAAGGTTTCAAGTTCATCAATCTAGCATGTCAGTCTTGAGTAATGCAAATGCCAGCAGTATTATAACTTTGAAGCCTCGTAACTTGGAAAATACTTAACAAAAAATAACATTATTGTAGTTTTGAAAAGATCTTCAAGCATCAGCTATAAGAATATGTAACCAAAAATGACAAGTTCCATTAAAAAAAATTTTAGATAACCTTGACCTGACCTTAAGGATATTCTCAAAGTGAACCAAGATCACCAACTTCTTTCCTCCTTGAAACTTTTGTCTTTTTGCTTTAAACTTACAGATTTTGAAAAGCTCGACTGGATAAATTAAAATGATCCACCTAGTATATAGCCGGATACTGATGATGTCCGGCGACCAGATAGTAAAAAAGTGATTTACTTTGTATCGAAAATTACTTGATAATATCGGATACCGCATATTTGCCAAATATTCTGATGCATCCTTATATTATAAGTTAAATAAATCGAAAAAAATTTCACAACAACAATCAACAAGTATAAATTAAAAATAAATATTCGTTCTTTCGAAAGCTGTAAAGTACATTTATATGTGATTTTTAATCCTTTGAGGCCTTTGAAGAATTCAAATTTTTTACGTAGCTTATCAAAGCAGTGGCGTAGTAAAGAAAAACAATTCTCCGAGAAGCGATCGTTCCCCTTTTATCTTCCATTTTTTCTTTACTACATTATAATCTATCAATAGATTAACAGGTATCGTTCATAAATTCAGGAATACTTACAATTGCACTTTACAAAAGCTTAAGTAAAAAAAATCGTAAAGCTTTCAAAAATGCATTTTAAAGAAGAAAATGGAATTTTTTTTAAATTGATGTTGAATGTTATTTGTATGATATTTTGTCCCTTATGTAAATTACATAAAATTAAAAATTGATATTGTTTAGTATGCAAATTATATAAAATTAAAAATTGATATTTTTTTCTATATTTTTGTTACATTCAATATTTTTTTACATTTTGGAGCACTGTAATATTTGAATAAAACATCATTGGACAAATTTTAAGAAATAAATATTTTAAAGTAGACTTTCTAAGCTTCAAAAGGCTTTTCGAAAAAAAAAAACATTATGATGATTTTCATAAAGGTATTGAAATATTGTATAAAATTTTTTTCTAAAAAAAAATGTGTAAAATTTAACTTTGAAACTAAAAAGTTTATGGAAAAAAGATAAAAGAGAAAAAATATTTGGTACTTATAATGTGCTTGATTTGTACAAGTTTTTTCAAAACTTTTGTCGGCAATGATAACTATTATAATAAAATAAATTTTATTAAAGACTTTTAAAAATCACTCGGATTATTTTGATGTCTTAAAAACATAAATAAAGTTTCAACTAAATAATCCGAAATTGGTTTTTAAATTGGGTTTTAAATTTTGAACAAACGAAATTTTTCTTTTAATTTTGGCATCTTGTATTATATCTTTAAAACTAAGTCGTTTCAAACATTTGATCGTATGAAGTTTTTGTCTTAAATTTGTGAAGAATCACAACTTAAAATCTTTTAGTACCACTTGTTATTTGTGAAAATTTATAAAGATATCGTTGTATACTATTTTTTACAAGCAACAAAATTTTTTAGCTAACAAAGAGAAACGTACTATGGTTATTTGATGTTACAAATGCTTCGAAGAATTTTTTGATTGGACAATTAGTAAAATTCTTTCTTCCGATTGATCAATCAAAAGCTTCGAAGCATTTGTAGCGTCAAGTGAATCACATAATAGCTAACAAAAAATTAATTGTAAAAAGCTATCAGTTTTACTACTTTAATTGCTCTCCTTTTGTCTTTTGCTCAAGTAACCAAGATAATTATAGCCTTTTGTATTTCGTTACAAACAAATCTTTCGTCCCAAATTACTGCTTGTAATAAGGAAGTGTGTATGTGTATATATATATATATA